GATAAAAGCTGACATTATGGGAATATTCACAAACTAATACTATTACGCACGTGAAGATCACTTTAAGGCAGTTTTGGTTCAAGGAATTAGGTGGGTTATGTTAATTTAAATTTTGAGATTAAGTTTACCAAGAAATAAGTTAAATAGTCATGTATACTGTAATAATATTTTTATAAATATTATAATTTGGATAATTTTTTTTTTTTATCTCATATAAGTTAATGTTTTAATCGAAGGATATCGCCAATTACAACTTACCATCAGTGGCGAATTTAGTTCGTAAAATTAGATATTTTATGTATATATTTTTTAAAATCTGTATAATATTATATTTTGACACTCCTACTATAAGAAGTCTAACCGATCCACATGGTTAAATGTTGAGCTTTTGATCTTGAGGAATAAGGATCAATTTCCACTTAATATTTTTTTTTTTGTGCACTCATGTTCGGATCAATTCTCACTTAATATATTTTTCTTAATGCACCATGTTCGAAAAATCTTAAATTCACTTCTGATTAAGGGAGTTTGTTGTATTAAGTAGGATATGGCTGTTACTACTTTCATTCCCAAAATTTGGTATTATTGCTATTGGGAGATTTTTTACAACCAGGGTTATAAAAGGCATTTTTGAGGTGTATAGTAAAAACTATATTGGATTGATTTGTGGAGGTGTAAGTTCGATCCGTTTGAGCATATGTTGGAAAAACTATTTAATTATATAAATATTTTTATCATATTTATAAATTCTCCATATAGTTTGAAAACATATTTTCTCACTAATTGATGATTTCATATCAAATTTCAAGTCATATACACCATGATATATGTAATTTTTTACTACCAGATACACTCTGAAATATATATATATAGGGAGAAAGTGGAGCGAAAAAGGGAGAGAGGTAAACGACAGATGGGAGAGAAGACCAAGATAGGAGGGAGGCGAGAAATAGTATATATATCTCAGATACATGTGAATCATACTAGATACATGTGTGTGGGATACCTGGTACATTCTATATACATCAGAGAGATCAAGTGAGCGAGATAGGAGAGAGATAAGTGAGAAAGTCAAATACATGCGAATTCACTTAGATACAATGTATTTGGAACAAATTACACCTGATTTTGATCTCATATATCTGAGATACATGTTGAACGTGCTTGATATATATATTGGGGGACCGAAATATGGTATGAAAATAATTTTGAAAACTCACACAAAGACATAGTGGCGGAGCCAGAAATTTCATCAAGGGCGTTCAAGATTTTCTTTTAAAAAAAATAAGTGAGTTGAATGTTATTTGTTTAACCTAGAGATTCTACCATGAACTGTCTCAACATTTGTCAATATCAAATATAAACAATCGAGTTTTTTTTCCCTTATTGATGCATTGAATTTATATGATAAAAATATATGATTATTGTTTTTAAAGTGAAATATTGATAGAACAAATGCGTCTAGCTTTACGAAACATAAATCAAAAAGAAGAAGATAAAACGCATGTATTGATTTTAGCTTTGGGTTTAAAGTTGTTAACATATATAGTTGGCTTTTTTTGTTTTCACCATTCGAAAGTGCATTATATCCTAGATAAAAATTAGAAATACATGATATCAAAATATTCAAAATTAAAATAATGTATTCATATATGTTACTCTATATTATTAAAATTGTAATATTAATAATTAAGAAACTCGAGGAACATAATAATGGTGTGTGAGGTTGTGTTCTGCTCTCAAAATAAAACTAAAAATGTTGTGCGCTCTGTGGGATTCAAACCCACGCATCTGGAGTGGAAATGAACACGCTTAACCACTGCACCACGGAAGAGTTTATGTCAAGGTTGTTCAACATTAATTATTTATCCCTTAAATTCAGAATTTGACCACTCTATATGATGTAATTTTCCGGCGAAGGGTGTTCAACTAACCACCCTTGGATGGCTGTAGCCCCGCCCCTGCGAAGACATGTAATATAAATTATAAACTAATAAAATTTGTGTTGTTTAGCCTTATTTTTGTTCTAAATAATTAATGAATATTCATATTAAAAATATCTAATCTCTCTAGAAAAATTATTTAACCTATATTAAATGAGAATGCCAAAACTTAAGCAAAATTTAGTGGAATCCTTATCATTCCTAAATTTAAGCCTAGTCGATGACCACACAAGTCTATAACTCAAACACGATCAGTTATTTCCTAACAAATTTCTTAATGCCTTAAATTTAGCCTGAACAAATTGACTACATTTCTAATATACTTTATAAATAACGCATACATAATATTTCAAATAATAATGCATTCATCGTATATTAAAACTTTAACATTGATGTACTATTGTGTAATGAGATACTGACAGACTAACATAATAAGGACAAATTACATATTTAATCGATCGGCTAAAAATAATTACATTCGTTAGTCAAATACATATAAAAAAAGGCTAAATAAACATACACTGTTAAAATAAAACTGACGTCTATTTATTTCATTTTTTATATAATTATATGGTTACTTGTCTACTTGAGTATATTAATAATATATTATTTATTATAGTATAGATTTGAATATATATAATACAATCATTTATACATAGTAATGGTATATCAAAATATACTATACAACATATAAACTTGGGAAGTTAGTTAGATGAGAGATACTGTGAGATTATTTTCAATTTAAAAGATTACATTTTGATTGGCATAATCCGAAGTTCAAGGAAATATTTTAGGATTATGAAATTTTATTTAAAATAAATTTTAAAGAGTTGTATTTTATTGATGTATAAATTCCTCAATTCAAATCACTTGTTGGATGGCAGCCCAATAAGTACGAAAGCCCATTAATAGCCTCTATATAACAGAGAGTCGCAACCATATTTTGAAATGAAACCCTAACTTTACTTACTCATCTCATTATCAGCAGTTAACGCCGCCAGGAGAATACTTTTGTTTGTTCGATTCGTAAATTTTGTGATTTTACTTTTCTATTTGTGTTTGATTTGATTTGATTTCTACTTTGTTAATTTCAATGTTCTTCTCATATTTTGCCCAATGATGGAAAATCTATATATATTGAGCGGCTGTGATGGTTATAGATTCATCAGTTGCCTTTATGCATCACCTGAATATCAGCGGTATCCGCCATTCTTTCTCCCTTTCCCTGTCTCCCTCAACATTACACACAAAAGCACACTTACACTTTTGCCGCTGATGTTTATGGTGATGTGTGAAAGGCTTCTGATGAGTTCCATCACGATTAGCTGTCTGTGATTTTGAAGCTATGAGATCTGAGGGCTTTACAGTTTTTTTTTCTCACATATTCAGTACAGAAATAATCCCTTTTGTGGGTATAACTTGATAAATTTGCATAACTACTAACTATGCAAGTGCTTGATTTTTGTATAATAAACGTGATTTGAAGAATAGAATTTTCACTTGCATAATTAACGTGATTTGAAGAATAAAGAATTTTAAAAATTTGTAGGATACAGTGTTTGTAATGCGGTTGAGTTTTTTTAGTTGATTTTAAAGGTCAAACAATTCATATGTAGTTACACAAATAAATTATTAATGTAATGCACAAATGATGAAAATAATTTTCCGATTGTTCCAAAGATAATAGCAATAAAACACTTGTTAACCGAAATTATTTTTCGTCATCCTTTCAACAGTGGAGATATTTCCAAAATCATAAATTGATTTGTATAGTAGGGTTACACTGGACACGTAAAACAACTGAGAGTCTAAGATAACCAGAAAAAAAGTCTTTTATCTTTATATATTTGAATGGTATTAATAAAAAAAAGTATTAACCTATGGATTATCTCAACCCATTATGAAAAAATAATTAAGATCAAATATTAAAAATATGCTTCAATTGTAAAAAACCTAATTTAGCAGTAATAATATTACTTAAATGACCATGGATTTATGACAGATTTGAAACTCATAAAATTCACGGCTTCATCCTAATTCGATTTTGCTACTCACTTGTTTTACAGTTTTCCAATAACTAATGTAGAATAAAAACACGTACCAGTAATGCAATTATTAAACCATTGAAAGACAAAAATTAATTTTTGCATAATATTCTCAAAATTAATAGGAGTAATCAGAGTATAAAAAAATTTAATTCTTGCATGATATTCTCTTATATAATTAATAATAGGAGTAATAAGAGTATAAACAATCTCTGCAATATATTAATACAAAACTAAGATCCTACTTCATATTGCTATTAAAAACGACTTATTTTTATAAGCATTTTCTTAAAGTAGTTCTTCAAAAAATTGCAAGAAAAAATAATTTGTGTTTGATTAATTTATTTGAAAAGTGTTTTCATAAATAAATTGTATTTGACTGATCTTTTTCAAAAAATGTTTTTAAGAGTCAAATTACGAAAAATGAAAGCTATTAATGTACTTTTAATATTAAGATTATTTTATAGAGAAAAATTATTTTAAATATCTATTATAAATAAGTTAATTAAACTTTTTTTAATCAAATTAAAATGTATATATTTAAACTTTCAACCAATATTATATGGTATATACCCCTTTTTTTTGGGAGGAGTTAAATCTTTAATTTTTTTTTCTTTTTTTCCTATCTTACAAAAATATTGTTATTATCTTTTTTTTCTAATTCTGCAAAATTATACGTAAAATAATATGTAAAATATAAAATAATAATATATAAATGTAAAATAAAATATAAAAATTTATTACATAAAAATAAAAAATAAAATTCTTAGACGAAATTTAACCAAACTTATTAGATATACTAATTAATTAATAATAGATATATTGGTAAATATGTTATATTAAAGTGATATTTTAGTCTTGACAAAAATAATTTTTTGTTTCGTATCTGTTTTTTTTTAAGAACAAAAAATTTCAGATTCTTTCAACAATAAAAGAAAAACCGTTTCTGTTTCTATTTAAAAACACTTTTATTAATTTCTCTAATACATTATCTTTTCAATAAAAATACTAAAAAAGTGTTTCTGCCTCGAATAGCACTCTCAAACGAAACTGAAACTACCCCTTAGGTTTGTTTATTGGTGTTTGGGGTCAGAAGCTCTTAGCGTTTTCGCTTCAACAAAAGTTAAACTCTTAACAGCAAGTTTTGAAGAGAAGTAATGTCGGAGTTGAAGGCAAAGTGTTTGAAGAAAGCAGTGGTTCCTTCCACTCTAATACAGCATCCATCCCCTGCCAATCTTCAGTCTACCCGTCTTGCCATTCATGTCCGTTAATTCCCTTTTCCCAAAATTCAGTTTTTTTTTTTGCATACCCAATTCAATTTAACCGTTTCTCTTTCTTCTGCAGATGAATGATGATAATGATTCTTCTTGTTGGGTTTACATTGCTTCTGGTTCCCGCATTTATAAAGTTCTTGTAAGTCCTTCCCTAAATGCTTTATACATGTATAATTAACTCTTCATATATACCAACTTGTGTTCATAAATCAAAACTCAGTATATAAATGCTTGTATTTACTCTAGTCCTTTTGCTTTGTCTGTTGAATTACAGTAAGTTAAATTTAGTTGCAATTATTCTCTTACCCCACTTAAGAGAGGGCAATGAAATTCTCTTTACAGTGATTGTAATTTCATCACTTGCATGTCTCAAGGTAAAATTTACAAGCTATAGGCCCAATGGCGTATTCAGAATTTTCATTAAAGGGTTCAAAAAATAAAAATATAGTGCTTGGGATTTGAATTTTGATCCCCCTAAACCACTAAGCCAACCTCTAGTCTTGTGTGTAGGGGATTCGAAGTCTATATATATACACTAAAGAAAAGAACTTTATATACATAGGAGGGGGCGAGGGTGTTCATCCGAATACCCTTGACAAAAAATTACACTATGTATTTTTTATTTTTTTTTGTCAAAAAATACATAGTGTAATTTTTTGTCAAGGGTATTCGGATGAACACCCTCGCCCCCTCCTAGATCCGCCCTTGGCTATAACGAGACAGTGAGATAGATTTGAGGATTGAGGGGAGGAGCTGAGTAAGCTGCTTTGTTATATTGGAGATTGTTATCTATGTAGTTATACCGCTTTGTTCCTCTATTATAATTGTTGTACTTATCTGGTCTATATATGATGATGAGTTCATATTGACTACACAAACATGCTTGAAGGCTATTAGCTGCATAAACCTTACTAAATGTGTTGATAAACATGTTGGATTAAGAAGCAACGGATGTTCAATTTGTTTTCATTTTCACTGTACAGATTCCAATGGAAAATTCACTGCTCAATCTTGGAAAGGAGGACCTTCTAATTCCTGAACAATGTGAGGTACACTTGCCATTTCTTCTATCATGATGAAAGATGTTAATTGTGAAGTAGCTTACTAATATTGTTAATTTGAAGGTTCTAGAGGCTTCAGTGGTCAATCGCTGCCCGCATCGATCAGAAATCCAAAGTATAGTGCTAGCTGAAACTGAAAGTAAGATATCGAGATATTTACCTTTTGAATTTTGGCAGCCCTTCGCGATATTCTGAAAAGCTTGTTGTTATTATTCTCTTATTCTGAAATTATCTTCTTAAGTAATAAGAGAGAAAGAAAGATAATATAGAAATAGTGACAGAGAAGAGGAAATTTGAAAAGAAAGACAGAGATGGCCTGCTATATCATATCATTGAATCGTAAATTTTTGTCGTATCTTTTCTTACATAAGTTGGTATTGCATCATGCTTGCGGTCCTGTATATTTGAAGGGCTTTCTACCACTTCTTCTTCAAGAACTTGCTGCTATTGTTCCTACTAACTTCACTAGTTTTTGGCTGCACGGTCCTTATTGCTACTACTGTCCATTAGTTTCTTTTATGTATTTGAAGCAGCTACTCTTTACCTTTCAACAGCTTAATGATCTGTCTAGTTCTCTACAGGCTCTGGTTGCTCAATGCTGGGAAGCGTGGATTCTTATGGTCACTTTATTGTCTCTAGATTGGATGCCAGTGGCGACGGTATCTCTCCTATTTATTTTTCATTACTTAGCTGAACGGTGATGGATTCTGTTAAAAAATAGCAGAATCTTGGAGTTGAAATTTTTGTTTACCTCCTGTTAAACCTATTTTCCCCCCCCCATTGATATAGGTGTAAGGATGCTGTCAGTTAATAACTAAATTTACCAATTATGGGGTCTGATGTGCTCACTTAATAGTTTGGTTTTGCTACGTATAAATTCACTAAAGAATTTTCAGTGGAGATGCTATATTTGGATTACTATTACCTGGCATATAAGTGAAATAGTGTACCAACTTGATTTGAGAAATTGATGATCTTGCTAATTTGAGTAGATCTAAGAGAAATTGTTATTGACATGGACCACCCATGACTTTTATTGATGAGTTATTCCCACATTTACTCTAGCATGATATTTGGGTTACAGCTTGACGAATTCCTCATATTCTAGATGTCAACGGGCTTACATATTCTGTCTCTCCTCGAGATTGCGGTGTTGGAGAAGGTAGCTGGGCAGGCCTGTGCTTCAATCCCACTCAACGATCCATGGTATTTCATCTCATATGTCTCCTAGGTTGGAGTCTGTAATCATTAATGTTGATGCTTCACATCAGCAGCTTCTTCCTGTTCACTTTAAATTTGTAGAACCACAAATTAACAAATAATTAATGGGCACTTTGAAGCAAGTTGATCCTAGAAGACTAATCTCGTAACTCACTTAGATCAATCAGTTCAAGCATTGTATTGTGCCTGTGGGTGCAAAATAGAGGCAGTTGGTGTGGAGGGGAGGCCTTGTCCTTGTCAGCTGACTAGTTTGCAATCCATTTCTTGTTGTGTATTTACCATCGTGCTTCAATGTAGCTTGTGTCCTTTGCCTGAGATTTTTCCTGATAGACTAGTCTGCCTTTTTTAACCTCTACTGTTTACTGAGAAATTTGAAATGATGGCATTGACTAGCATCCGAATATCCTCTTCTCTGAATGTAGCATTGCCTGGTTTTTTTTTTTGCTCCATGTGAACTGGCTTACTAAGCTACAAAACTTGTTGGTCAACGTAACTGATTAAAACAGTGGGTTATTCTTGGTACTATATTGGCTATTCAAATGGACTTTAAAGCACCTTCTTTTTTTTCTGAAACTTGTGAGTTGTGACAGTAACTCTAAGCACTTTTAAGTTGATGATTTGAACCTTGGAAGGAAAATGAGACGGTTGACGTTGTTCATCTGCACAATCATTTCCTGTTTTTTTCCCTCTTTTTAACATCCTCTGTGCGTGTGTGTGTCTTGGAAAGAGTAAGTGTTTCATTTGTGGCATATTTCTTGCCTTCATCCTGAATTTCAGTATTTTCTGGCCTTTTACCTCAGGCAGCTGTGGCTCACAGTTTCTCTAAAACCATTGATGTCTATGACCAAGATATTCATGTCCGCACATTACGTCCGTAAGTACTTATCTTTGCTTCGGAGACAGGAGATCATTTACTGTATAATCTCAAACTTTTCATTCTATTTTTGCTACTATGCTTTCCATTTTTGAGATATTGTTTATATGTACAGCAGCACGTCACAAAAAAATCATACATCTAGCATTCATATATCCTTTCTAGATAGCCTGGACTGTTTTATTCTCACTTGGAGGCATTGCTAGACTACTACTACCATGGAAGCTTTTCTGCTACCTTGGGCCTTTTAAGCAATGTTGTTAATAAAAAGGAAAATCAGTAAACTATTGCCTGATGCTGATTTAAGTACTCGTGACAGATATAAACAAATCTGAATAGTGGTTTCTGCAAACCTTGTTTTTGTGGATTAATTACTGTTTTCATAAAGACAATTTGACTGTTCTATATTTCTAGAGCTCTTATATGCATGACTTGAGTCCTAAGTTTGCATCTTTCTCTGTGTAGGGATTTGTGTTGGCATGTCTTTAGATCTTAATATATCAACCAAAATACGAAAGAAATCAAAAGAAAATGCATGGCAATGTTACCGTGTAGAAAAAGTTCCACAAAAATATCTAACAAACAATTTATAGAATTGGTTGTACCTGGTTTTATGAAAGATTATGATTGACATATATCTTGGAAAAGGGGGCGGGGGGGTGGGCGGTTCAATAATCAAGGATTCAATCATAAGCCTTCTATTGTTGAAAACCATCTCTTTGTTGCTTTGGTGTTATTGAAAGCCAACGCTTTAGTGTTAGAGGAAGAGAACATTCAAAATGCTGAGGCACTACTGAAACTGTAAGATCTAGCCAGGTTGTAAGAAATAACTTGCGGCAGAAGTCTTGGTGCATATGGATCCCACAAAGGTGATAGGAACATATGGATTATTGATTGACAAAATTTGATACGCTCAAATTACACCTCCCTAAAGAAGTATAAGCGATCGTTATCAAGTAAAGAACCCAACTTGTAGGTTGGGGTCGATCCCACGAGGAAAATGGTTTAGACTTTACTTTAACCAACAATTATATTCAATTAGCCAAAGTACTTCCAGAAACAAAGAAATAAAAAGGGGGGATTTGTTGAACAAATTGTAAGAATTCAGTAAGTAATCAATAAACAAAAGTCAATTTCGGTTGTTATCAAGATGAGAAAATTAACTAGGGTATACGTGTTCACCACAAGCTCATAACGCAGTAATTCTAGTAACCGCAATTCTTTCCTAGTGTATTACATGCAAAGTGATAAGTTAGGTATCTCTAAATCCTTGATCCGGCATCTAGAGAATTTCACCCCGCACCTTGATCCGGCTACGTGTGTATAATTTACTAACCCTTACCTTTACCTCATATTAGACATCATAATCGATGTTTGGCTTAGTTATTACTTCGCACCAATCGACACTAGCCTATTAGATAGTATCACACTAAATCTATGTTGATAATTCTTTTCTTGTTGATTACCTCCTCGATCTGGCAGGTAACAACAAGGCGAGTTCTAACGCGTGCACTCGTTAAAAAGACTTCTAAACGAAAGAATTATCAATGCATGCAAAACACTATTCAAGAATTACTTATTTACTATTCATACTTTGTTAATCGATCATGGTTCCCACAACCCTAGTTGTGAATTTAGTTACTCATATTGGCAAGAACACAATTCATAATTGTCGATAAAGAAATCATGAACTTACGTAA